CGTAGTGGCGGGCGCCTGTAGTCCCAGCTACTTGGGAGGCTGAGGCAGGAGAATGGTGTGAACCCGGGAGGCGGAGCTTGCAGTGAGTCGAAATCGTGCTACCGTACTCCAGCCTGGGTGACAGAACAAGACTCTGTCTCAAAAAAATAAAAATAATTTTTAAAAAAACTGGAATTTTAAGCAAAGAAGTTTTTGTTTTGTTTTTGAGACGGGATCTTACTTTGTTGACCAGGCGGGTCTTGAACTCTCAGATTCCAGCAATTCTCCCGCCTCAGCCTCCTGAGTAGCTAGGATTATAGGTACAAGCCATTGTTAATCTGACGTTGATAGGGAACTATTGGAGTCTTCAGTCTCTGGTGTACATAAAATTTAATTGTGTGACTAAAGACACATCTGTCAAAACAACATTGCAAACAATGGGCTGAAGTCAGTACTAGTGGAAAAACTTCTTTTGTTTCTTAAATTGGGAGATTAGACCTGAGGGAAGAGAGGGTAAGAATAGGAAGGACAAAGAAATGGTAGATAAGAGACAGACTGAAGGTTACCTAAGTATTGACTTACACTCAATGTTGTCCATTTCCTAATATCAGCTCATCCTTTCTTGCTTGTCTCTACTCAATTACTTATATTAAGAGCCAACAACTGTATCGTGTACATTCAAAATATGTTGGCTTCATCTCTGTATGGATTTTTTCTGATGGTGAATGCAATGGGTGAATAATAGCTACCATATTAGAAGCTACTACCAACTTCAGATAATTGAAAACTGTTTCTAAGATTAGCCTCCCACTTATTATGATAATATCATAATAGTGATATTATCATGTCCTTATGCTCCCACCAACCTGCCCCAAACAATGACAGGTCTGTAGTGGATAAGCTTACAGCCCATTCACTGTGCAGGCCAGTGTGTCAGGGACCGGACATCTGCCTGTCCTGATTTGTGACCTGGCAGCTTAGAAGAGCTTCACCTCATCCTACTGATGCCTTCAGTTGATCCCCTTAGCCCTGCGGTTTCTATTTTCTGGCCTTGAGCATGTTGACTCCAAATAGGCCCTTTCTGTGCAGTGAATCTTCATTTATTGTTCTTTCTTTTCAAGAAATTATAAAGCCAAAAATAACCAAAATCATTCAGTAGATTTTCTCTACCTTTGTTTTACAAATGACCAAATTGAGGACCAAAGAAACCCTCTTGCTAGGAAAAGGGAAAAGATCTCCTGACCAAGCCTGCTTTAATAGGATTAAAACAAAACAACACTTGATGTGGATGGAAATCAGATGAGGAAGATTCTTTTGAAAGGATATTTATTCCTCCAAAACCTTAGGATATAGATTATTCAATGCTGGTCAAAATATAATCAAATTTTTAAAATAGTCCAAATCAAAATGGATTAAAGACTTGAATCTAAGACCTCAAACTATGAAACTACTAAAAGAAAACATTGGGGAAACTCTCCA